CCTCCTGGGGTTCACTATTCACCATTGACATATTGGAATCGAGACGTGGGCGACAACTTGTGCGGTAAATGGTCTCCGAGGAGAAGTTGTGCAAGTCAAGCATTGACTTTCCATTCNTGTGCAGCGACCTCCTGGGGTTCACTATTCACCATTGACATATTGGAATCGAGACGTGGGCGACAACTTGTGCGGTAAATGGTCTCCGAGGAGAAGTTGTGCAAGTCAAGCATTGACTTTCCATTCGGCAAGTCCGGGCGCTGTGGAACCGGGCTGTGCGAATAAGCTATGGGGCTGTTTTGACCATTATATCCACCATATGGCGTGCGTGGCGTAACGGGAAACGCAGGCGTCTCGGGGCGTGCGACGTGTAATGGCGAAGGTGAAATCTTGCCAGCCTCTACCGCATTCGCAGTCGCTGCCACAGTTGACGCTGGCCCAACTGGCAACGACAACGATGCCGCCATCGGGTGATCCGTAACTGACAATGCTGGCTCGATTGAGTTACGACTGTGATATGTGCTCGTCGCAGCGGTGACTTGCTTACTCGTCGTGGCATAAATGGGCGATGACAAGTCATTGCGGCTGCGTGCAACAACGGCAGCCCCCAATGAGCTTCGATTATTTGTTGCATACTCGTGGCTGCTGTCAATGCCATAACCAGCTGCATTTCCATTTCCATATCTGGAGTACTCCAGTCGACGCTCTTGCTGCGATTGTGTTGGAGACGGTGATGGTGAATATTGCCTCCGCGACGGTTGCACTACACGCTTCTCCACTGTACTGTAAAGCGATTCGAGTTGCTGTTGCTGTTGGCTCTGCGGTTGCGGTCGCGATTGCTGTTGCAGTATTCGCGATTGTTGCTGGGAAGCTGCGAACGGCCCGCTTGCCTCTCGGCAGGCATTCGAGGAGCTAATTGTGTGATAATTACGTTCCACATACGTTGAATTGCTGGTCGGCATAGCGACCTCGCGCGCAACTGGAATATCGCGAGTGCGATATTGCTGCAGCTGTTGCAGAGACGTTCGATCCATGGTGTGGGCGCGACGTGGGGGCGGAGGCGCATCATCTAAATTCAAATGAAATTCAAAATCGTAGTTGAATTTTCGAGAATTGGGTGATGTGCCGAAGGTACCCCCGCTGCCGTTGACAATTGGCGTTGTCCCAGTCGGTCGGTAATGCTCCCGCATGACTTTTTCACGACGTTCGCGTAAAAGTTGATCAAAATCATCGCGTGGTTGCGTTCGCGCACGTTTAGGCTGCCGTCAATTGTGTCGCCAATTTCGAATTTTTCGCTGTTGTTGTTGTTGCCGTAAATGAAGTTGTTATTGTTGTATCTCTTGGTGCTACCATAGCCGTTGTTGTAGCCGCTGATGTTGCCATTTAAAGCGTTGCTATGGTCGCTGCTGCCGGCGGTAGCGTAGAAAGCGCTGTCATTGTCGTTTCCATATTTGTAGTGGTACGTATTGGCAATTGTGTTGGTATTAGTGGCTCCGTTGCGCGTAGGTGATCGACTATTCAACGTTTTGCGCACCAATATCGGACTGGTAAGACGTGGTTGCGCTTTAATCGTATTTGTCGTGTCCGTGCTACTTCCCGATGCCGATGTTTTTGCGGTTGTTGATTTCAATGTAGCCGTTAATCCGTTTTTGCTTGCATTTTTGTAATTAGTACCATAATAATGATCAGTGCCTGAACTTAGGCTCATATCCGCCTTCGAAGGCGACGAACTTGGGCCCAATCCGAAATCGCGAATACCACTCGAACCAACACCAACACCGATACCATGTTGATTACGATATAGTCCGCCAGTGCCCGCGTCACCACTAATACTGCGCAATGGCGTCGAGGCCTTATTTATTTGGCCATAACTAAATGGCAACGAATTTTCACGCGCGTGATATGGTATGGCACTACTGTTGTTGTTGCTACTGTAATTGTAGCTATTGGCTCTGGCTTCATCACCGCTGTCCGACACAACAGAGAAATCATCGTATGGCGACCGCATAGTTCGCGAATATTCACAAGACTGATTCGTTGTGGCGCAGTACTACATAGGTTGCTCCGGTGTTGGAATCTACTAGCTGCTACTAGCAGATAGCACGCAGACAACGAATATCTGCATACATTTGAATGTGTGCGTGCACGTTTACAGACGCCGACCCACTCACAGATACAATTATTTATGTACCTCAACACAATCTGGGTGCGAGTATCTTTTCGCTTGATTTCGGATGCCTGTACATATGATTGTTTGTTAGTTTGTTGGTAACGAGACACTGAAAAAATCGCCTACGAATATTTAGGCGCGTTCGAACGTGTCGTTCCCACGACAGTCGGGTCTACGTAACCGGAACGACCCAGATTTATAGTTGGCCAAGGACTGTCACTCCAGCAACACTCCCCAAAAACTCTTTGGGGAAGTTGTATGCTGCTACAACAACAACCACAAAGTGTAGTCTTGAGTTCGTTCTGTATTCTGAAATATAGGTAAGGTTAAGGTAGCAGCTCCACGTGTCAGGGACTCACTTAGACGATTTTAACTTTGTTTGATTTGTTTGAGATTATATTTGAATTCTACAATTTGTTGTCATAGAAATTTTTCTTGTTTTTGTGAATAACTTTTGTTCTACAATCATCCTTTTGTAATTTAATAAAACAATAAAACAAAAGATTTAAAATAAAATTCCTTTCATTTCGTTAAAATTCCACAATAGGCTTACAGCCAATTTCACGAAAGCAATTTATGTAAGTGAAAAATTATTTTAATTTTTTACAATTTTATATGGAAACGAGAGCTATAGGGTGGGATCGGTTCCAGAAAGTTCAACCGCCGCAGGGCGAAACGTACGAAAGCCCTCTGGACCGACTCCAATCTCCTAATATGAACGGCATGAAAAGGCCTCCAGATAAATACTGCATATTCTAACTTCCATGAGTATGCGATTGGTTTGATATATCTCCATACCAAGTTAGAGTACTCTACCATGAATNAAATAAAAAATAATTTTCCATTTAAATTGCTGATATAACCGGCTTTTAGGAAGCCTTCTTCATAGCTAGAGCTCAGATTTACATGCAAATAGTTAAGTATAATGAGGCAAGTCTTTAGGCTTATTTTAGCATAGAAATTCGAGCGCTATTCATAACTTTTTGCAACTTTAAACTTTATTGTGGGGTTCTACCCAAACATAAATTAACGGATAGACCCTTTTGTAATGTTATAGGTTGAACTGAAAAATGCAGATCAAATGAAAATTTCGTGCTCAGTAGTGACTGAAAACCCGCTCATTGATTCGTGATGTGTCATCGAATAGCTATGCAGAATTGCAATTTCTCTAAGTGTACCGGATCATTGGCTTAAAAGCATACATTGAAGCAATCCCGGTGTTCTCCAATAATAAACGTCTGTATTTATGCACACCCATATGAATCCACGTAAGTATGTATATACGTATGTATGTGTATTTATATGTGTGTAAGTATGTAAATACCCTGTAGGAAAATCTCTAGTTCTGAATTGGTTTGCTTCCAGTACATTTAGAACTACTATTAGTTCGCTATAAATCACTTTTGCATGCAAACACTTGGCGAATTTTACACTGAGACGCCATAGGAAATGACAATTTTCTTCAACTGCATTAGCTTTTCTTTAGTTCCGCACCAATTATAAATTCCGCAGTTTAGATCTAATTCGCTTTGCATCCCGAACTATTCCCAACCAGTTCTTGGGTGTGCAGAGCTTGAGTGTGAAAAGCATCTGTAAACAAAAAGGCGCAAAAAATCAATTTAAAGTAAAAAAAATATAGCTTGGGGCTCCGTGGGCCCCTTTTCTGTAGTATCGAACGAGTTCTTATAGATATACATAGATTTCTATTGAATAATTTTTTTTTTATTATTTGGGAGTTATCATAGTGACTATTGGGGTCTTTGCAAATTTGCGTATCACGTAATAGAAGCGGTTAGAAATAAAATAGGTAGTTCCATATTTTGGAAAATGCGGCTTTAATTATTCTTGCATAAAGATATATGTAATTGTTTAGAAAAGTGGGCTTAGCAAATGTTCACTCTAAGAGTTTTAGTTACTATCGGACTGGTTTGTTTTTGGCAATAAAAAACTATGTAGTACTGAACTGCTTTTGATTCACTACGTGTGGCTTTCCCTGCAGGGTATGAATGTGCATATATGTGTACATATGTATGTATGTATATGCATACGTGTTGTCTTGAGGTTTTGCAGCAAATGAAATGAGTAGGTCTTCCTTGATGGTATTGGAGAGTAAGACACATATCCCAGTAAAACCAATATCTAAAGAGATTAGACCTAGTTTAGTGTCCATGGGATACAATTGCTGATTAGTTAGTCTTTGAATCAGTTTAATTAGTCTTCGAATCAGCTCTTAAGCAGGGATCACACGATTTGTACATTTTCACAGTTACAGAGTGGGGTTGTGTGGAAAATTGTTATTGAGTTGAACTCATTCTCGATACAAATTTCTAGACAACACCACACGGTGACTGACAAACTGTAAAAATCTGCAAAAATGTACAAATTGTGTGATCCCTCGAAGTCAACTGGGACTGGTATAAATGTGCACATGGATGTTGTAGGCTTCATGACTTTAGTCTGTGTAAAGGTGTTTCATTTGAATGCTTCCCTACAAGACAGCTGAGTATCATATGAGTACTCATATTATCATTACTCCTAATCACAAAAGTGCTTATCAAAGTCCTCATTTTCGTTCAGGCCATGGGAAAAAATTGAGTACTTTCCCCTCAATGTTGTCATCAGAAAGTCCTCAGTACTAATAGTCAAACTACTCATTTATGCCGTACTACAAAAACAAAAGTGTAAATCTGTGAGAATTTTTGCCTAAAGTGCTCAGCAATGTCTTGTAGGGTTTGTAGTGACTTAGCTTATGTTAACACATATGCATTTGTCTGTCTGACTTTTGTACCCAGTCGAAGTGATGTCATCCACACGCGCACACTCGCTTAAATTGTACATACATATGTATTCCTCTCTTTCGTGATTGCTTTCAAATTGAGAAATTCAAGGTGCTCTCCCAGATGTTTGTATTGGCAGTTGCTTTATCACTGGAAGACGTATGTAGATACTATTCGTTGCTCAGATGAAGTTGTATAAGTGCTTTGTCCGTCCGTTTGCGGCAAAATTGCTCATCTGGAATATTTCAACCGCCTGGGTTGCGATGTTGACCTCCGCACACCGTAAAATCCATATCATCGTCGGGATCTTTGTGGCGGCTTCAATTCCCTGTAATTGCATTCTAAACTAAGCATTGTTGCACTTTGCAATCCAATAAAAATATTACAGCTGCATGAGGCACGTTCCACCGAAAGAAATAGATATGTTCGTATGTTTCGCTTAGGAGAGAAACCTATAGCACAGATGGTTAAGGGGTAAGGGGTATGTATGTAAGGTCTGAAGACACCTACGTACATAGTAGGTACACACGTGCATGCCAAATACAATTTATAGATATGTATATATGTATGTATGTATGTATGTATGTACATTCGAGCATATGCTAATTGATAAATAATAACCAATTTATTATTGTAATGAAGGCCTTTACATTCGCTCACTGATGACAAATTCTAGGTGATCTGATAAATTTTGTAAATACAATGATCGTGTTTGTGTAAAGAGTACAAACTAAGAGAGAAGATGTGAACGCATACATACGTGCACACACATCCATACATACTAACATAGTACTTAAATGTACACATATGCAGCGATAAACTCACAGTCACTCGCACTCATAGATCTGTATGTGTCCCCCATATATTAGATTATAAACACGTTTGTAGGTGGTAAAGGCAGCCACAATTATTTGCCATGTTTTTTGGCGTGTTTGACCTCTTAATAATTGATTTCTTAAAGCTCCCACTCACGTATGTACGTATAGATAAACCTCAATATGTACCTACGTAAACTATGTATATGAATATACATACATATGCGTATGTACATATGTATGTATTATGCGTGTTCATATGTGTGTATTCAGCTTAGTTATAAAATAATATGCTTATATAGAAAATGTCGGTAACTTTGTAAACAAGTCCATAAGAATGTAGAATTTTGTATATTTTTTTTTGTTTGTTTAATAATTATTTTAGCGCAACAATCTCAAGATTTTTTACTTTAATGACATCATTAAATATCCACATAAAGCTGCTTTTACACGGGACGATTTTCTTGTGGATTTTTGTTGTTACCGTGTCGTTTTGTCAGTCGATTTTTCAGTCGACCGAAATCGACCCGTGTAAAGGCAGCTTAACGCCGTCATCTAAAACGCTCGGTTGATAAATGTGAAATTGTATGTATGTACATTACAGTGGGCCAAGTTTTGCAGGTGGGAAAAAATGTCATCGTAGAAAACAAATTAAAAGATACAGTTGCGGTCAAAATGATGGTAGCAAAATGCAAAATAATGCTGTTGGCAACTTATCTTTATTTATTGTTAATAATTTTCATTTAGAATATAGGTCGATCTATATCAGACACAACATAAATAATTGTTTCAAAGCTTGCACAAAGTTCACAAAAAACAACTAAACTTAAAAAATGTTCAACGAAATTTCGATTTTTTATTGGATTTTTCCTAGAAAGGTTTTGAGTATGCAGTTTTTTATCCCTTTCAATTTTACTATGTATAATAAAGTGCAAGTTCCAGGTCGCTAAAAACTACCATTTATTTTTTAGATTTTTTTTTTTGGGAGGGTGTTGCGCATTTTCTTCCACACAAAAGTCAGTTTTGTTTATGCGTTATATGGAAGAAAATTCGCAACAGCCTTCACATAAAAAGTTTTAAAAATCAACGGTAATTTTTAGCTATATTTCTCTTACAGAGTTTCATGCACTTATGCTTGCTTATGACCTACTCACAATAGCCGCGTTAAAGCATGACCATATTTGGTATTTTGGCACCTTAAAAGCTGATAAAAATGACATGCCCATGAACCAGTTTTTATTTTTAGATCTGGACGCTTGTGATTCGAATCGAAGAGCAAATTTGTATGTACATATATAGATGGTTTCTAAAGATATACATAATTTTGCGTAGAAAAACTGGGTATTTGTGGGTATGAATCGAAATTAGACGTTATTGATTATTTTTAAAATTTCTAAAAGAAATTTCATTAGCATTTAGCAAGGTACATTGAACAGGTAGCAGCAGTAGAATGGGGGGAGATTCTGTTAGCGGCAATTTTCGGATCGCTATCACATTTGTTGACGCAACAACACACCAACAAACCACGCACAAAAAAATTTAGCTTATTTTATGAGGATACTGATTGTATCCGCAGATCTTTTGTCCTGGACAAAAATCCCCTCACGCTATTATATATATATACTACATACATATAAACATACACACATCTTTGCGTGGTAGTCCATTTAACATTTTCGAATATTTCCAGCTGTTTTGCGAATAACAAACAAAATATGCGCCATGACGGACAAGTGTCATCTGTGCAGCGAGGAAACCGTAAACAAAACATTTAGCAATCTTCAACCCCAACGGTGCTTAAATCAACCCTTCAACCAAACCCTACATACAACGCAGGCGTTAAATTCGAACAAATGTCTGTCACGTTCCACAAACACTCCACAAAGCAAACTGTTGGTGTGGAGTTGGCCTACGTTGACTTGTTTTCATACGTCAAGAGAGTATTGATTTTTCGCGCATCCATTTGCGAGTTCTTCTTGGTGATGCTGAATCATACTTTTCAATAAAGGCTTACTAAATTGGAAGTTCGGGTTGCAAAATTCAAACGAAAAAAGGAAATTATAAATTGTCTACAAGCTTAATTGGCTGCAATTCGCTAAGATACACGAGTGATTAACGATTTACTCAGCTATTAGCTAGAAGGGTGAAAATAAAATTCATTACATACTCGTANCAAAAGCACAAAAAAAAAGTATTTTCATTGCGTTTAAATACAGTTCCAAGCACCGTTAAAGTCGGTCTATATTGCCAAAATTATCATAGCAGCCAGAGAGGCGGTACTGATACTATAAATCACAATGGCTTTGGACTTTGTTGCGACGTACAAAGTTCTGGTGCTCGGTGACTCTAATGTGGGTAAAACGTGTATAGTCCATAGATATTGTGATGAGAAATACTACGATACATACATTTCCACTATAGGTAAGTGGTGCCTACAGAGGAGGAACTCATACATACATATGTACAAGCCGTAATAGTACATACATACATTAGATAGATATGTATGTAGGTAGAAAATGAATGTAAATATGTGTAACATATATGCAGTTATTACTACAAATCAGAGCTGGCACTTTATGATTACGATTACATTTTGATTACTTGGATTACGATTATTGTAATTGTAATCCCGAAAATTGTCAGCATAACGATTACTGTAATTGTACTTATAACAATTATATACAATTACTGTAATTGTAATCTTAAAATTTTTAGGATTACAATCACGGTATTCATAATCAAGTTTTGCATGATTTCGATTGCAGTAATCATAGTCCCTAAATTTTTAAGATTACAATTATTATAATATCATAAAGGTAACATTTATGATTACAATTAAAGTAATTGTAATCGTATATAATTAAGGATAACAATTACGCAATCGTAATTGAAATGTAATCGTAATCAAAAATTACCCAGCTCTGCTACAAATATACGGTTCTTTGTAACTATTATATCAACGCCGTAGTAAAATTTCAATCATGTACATAGAGGCGTTTAAAATACAAAACCGCGTATCAGCAAAATGCAAAACCTCGTATGTGAAGTTGTAGAAATTATTTTCTAGAGAGTAAAAACACTCATATTTCAAAATGGCTCTCTGTTTTATAAAGCAATCGCATTTATGGCTAGTATATTTCAGGACAAATGGATAAGGATTGAGCCAAGAGCATGTGTGAGCAAATCCAATTTTTGGCAGCAAATGTCAGTTACGCGGTTTTGCAGAATGACGATACGCGGTTTTGTACGTTAAACGACGATACGTACATACATACGTACCTTTGTGCATACCTACATACATATGTATGTGTGTCCAAAAAACCGAATTTTTGAAACTGAAATTTGGCAGCACACAAGTGATATCGTCGAATTAATGCTGGTTTTCGACATTAAACATTGTGTTTAACTAAAATTTTGTACGTCTACTTAAAATACCTAATTGCATAACACATTCAAATGCATATGTATGTATATGTATTAGTCCAAAAAAATCGTACTTTAAGTTTGTAAGTTGTGAGATTTGATAATAAAAGAAAATAGATACTACTGGTCCAAAAGCCAGTGCCGAATACTCGAGTACATTTCAGGCGAAACACTGGGCTTTCTACTCAGGATGTCAAATCTCATTTGGTACTTCAATTCCATTAATATGTAGAAATAAATCTGCATGATTGCAGGTCTTTTTTTACTTAAGGTTGGCTACATTTTTAACAGTGCTATTTATCAAGAGCAGACTCCTTTCGGGCTGGCTCGTCGACCAATTTGTTGTCATGCTGTGCTCCGACATCAGATAAGGAGACCTACATACATACATATATACATATATACATACACTTATATCCTTTTGTGTATTTCTATTTACATACATATGTACATCTATTTTAAGCCACTCACAATTTAATTAACTTCCCGCGTGCTTAGGTATCGATTTCAAACAGAAACTCATCAACTTGGATGGAGTGCCAATAAAGCTACAAATTTGGGATACAGCAGGACAAGAAAGATTTCGAACGCTAACCACAGCTTATTATCGCGGAGCAATGGGCATACTACTGATGTATGATGTGACGAACTTGGAGAGTTACAATAACCTGTCATATTGGCTGCGAAATATTCAAGAGGTATTTCATAAATATGTTATATTCATATAAACATATAAGAGCACTGCACGATTACGTTGCACATCGCACGATTGTATGTACATACTGTTGAAACTTACTCGCCTTATTATTGCCACAGTGCGATTATAAATTATATACATTTGGAGATTTCTCTTTCATACATATATATTGCATAAAGTTTAAGATTTCAAATTCAGTTAATTTAAATATAAATGGATTCATTAAGCAAGAAAAATTAAAACTTAATAAGCAAATTAAAGATAACTAGTTTTTGGAACTAAATTTTGTGATTTTAATTAGTTTAGCCAAACTAAATACGTTTAAATTGCTTCACCATCACATTCCGTTATAGGATATGCATACTATACATACTATGTACATATGTATGTATGAAAGTATGTATGGCACAAATAATGTGTCAGGCTGTTTGCTTCCTGAACAATTACTAAACAAGTATCTAATAGCCAGCGATGTCGCGATAGCAAATGGTGTGTACTCGCCGCATAGGATATGGTGATTATTAAATATAAATAATTATGTACTCGTACAATGCTCTAATACAAACATATGAATGTGTGTATAAATTTTTATAATTTAACAACAAATTACTAAATTGCGTTGATTTATATGCGTAGAACGCGTCACCGGATGTTGTCAAAGTCCTGGTTGGCAACAAATGCGAATGTTCGGCAACGCAGCGAGCGGTTGACAAAGAAAGAGGCGAAAAAGTAAGTTCAAATGGCAAATTAAATAAAAGTTAATTATGTAATATGTACATACCTATTTCATTCAGTAATCCAGTTGCATAAGAATGTCTATTTGAAATGTATTAATTTAATTATTTCACACACAGATTGCTGAAAACTTCGATATGCCATTCTTTGAGGTATCCTGCAAATGCAACATAAACATTGAGGAGGCTTTTCTAGCATTGGCAAGAAAAATCCGAGAACAGCGCGAACGCCGGGTAACTCTATATAATGTTTTACCCACATTCTCTAAAAAAATTGTTTATATCTACTCGTCTTTATTTCAGGGTGATAATTTTGATAACGACGAAAAGACACAAGACAAAAAATCGCCCGGTTCCAACGGCTTAGGTACATTCAGCTTGGCCAGCTTGTCCGAAGGCAATCGTTGCTCCTGCTAAGCCGAACGGAAATATTCCACATACTCCTAAGGAACAATACGTCCAATAGAGTGCTATAGTGGAATACTTCCATGCATACATACAAACATATGTATGTATATGTACGCCTAAGTATACAAGTACATACCACTGGGCGGGCAAGTGCATTCAGTGTTAGTGTGGGAACGTTGGTTGGCTGGATTTTGAAATCAGGGAGACTCAGACGTACGTATGTACTATGTATGTATGATTGTATATTTTGAAGGAACAAAGCCAATTTAGTCAAAACTTATGTATATTCCTCAGAGAAATAAATCGCTGTTTGAATCTCAACGCTTCATATACATATGTAGCATATGTACGTACATATGTATATTGCGAATTGGGTTACTTTAAACAGTGTTTTTTTAAATACCATTAATTAGGCGCTGGAGTAGTTAGTTACATCCATAAATCAATTGCCGTTTGGTTGCTAATTAATGAAAATTTACTCTTGAACATACATAAGTACATATGAGGCAATGAGAGTCAGAGGAGCATATCTACATACGAAAAAATTTGTTTGAGTAATATGCGAAGGAAGGATTTATAAATACTAAATAGCAGGGACGTGCACAGGTTTTGAACCGAACCGGTTTTGAACCGGAAAACCGATTTTTTCTATTAATTAATTGAACCGAAATTTTCCACAAATGTTTGATCCGAACCGAAACCGAACCAATTTTCATAAAGGTTTAAAGGTTAGTTTAATCCAATTTTCATTAGATAAATTTACACGCTTTTGTTTCGTTTCGTTAAATATGGTAATACCTACTACGTTTGTTTACCATGTGGAAATATCAAATGTAAAGGCAACTCATCTCATTTAGCACACACTTAAAATTTAACCTTGCGCTTTGTTGCACTTGACACTTTACACTTAGACTTGCACGTTATTTTTTTTTCCCAACCCTTGAACAGAACCCCGGTTCAAAGACTAAAAAAAAAACGCTTTGTCGAACCAATGCAAAAGTGCAAAAACGGTTCGAACCGCTAAACCGAACCGACCAAATTTTTCATCCGGTTCACGTCCCTGATAAATAGGGTCTTTCACTGAAAAGTTCATTGCATCTACGTGATGCTGCCTGTTAGAGTAAAATGAAACTGAACAATCGTGTCTCGGGCTATTAGCGTTTCATTCTATTAATGCATTTTAAGCTGTACCTCACCTTTTTAATGTAAGGCTACTTTGGCTCTCAAAGCCTCATATGTACATATATATGTATGTATAACATACACATTATGTACATATGTACAGTGTTGGACAAAAGATATTTGACTGGGAATCGGAACTTGATTAAAATGAGACTTAAAAGATTTCGAAAAAAATGTTAAATAGTTTAATTAATTTATACACGCAACACAAATTAAAATTTTTCTTACAAATAATTGAATTTTAAAATTTGGATTTGCTCATTTTCAGAAAATGTTGCGCAACACAGCATTTTATTGTGGCAACATTTGATAAGGCTATCGAAAATAAAGTTGTTTTGTTGAATAGTGTGCATAAAAATACATAAACAATTTTATAGTACATATTTGTTTTCTTATTTACACTGATTTTTTCGAATGTTTCATTTTACTAAATATTATACTATTTCTATCAGAAAAAGGACGTAATCTTGCATGGCTATCCATAATTTAAATAACAAAAAAAACATCAATATTAAGCAGGAATTATCAAATTTACTTATTAAAAAAATCATTTTTAGCATCACTAAATTTCACATTTACCATAGTACCTTAACATCGCAGGGATAAAAAAATCACGTTTAGCATGACAATGAAAACACTCAAACCACAAAAGTCCCTTTTCCACAATTTAACGTTACTTAGAAATAGCACGCAAATGTAATGCCATATAAAAGTCCATATAAAAGTGTAAACAACTAATTATCGATAATAGGCCGAATGGGAAAGTTTCCAGATTCATTTTTACGCGTTTGTATTTTTATATTTATATACCCGAGCGCACTTGTGCACAATTTTTATTATAATAGTTTGTTTCTTTGGCCTTGCGTTCATTCTTAAGTTGGCGGATGTATGTATAAATATTGCTTATTTTATTTGGTCTTTGTTTAATTGTATGTACATTGTACATATATTATTTTTTGCTTATCTCTTTCTCTATATTTAAGTCAGATATTTGTTGTACTATAAAAGGTTAACGTAGTTTCAATTTCGGCAAGGAATTTTTAGAACTCCTCTTGTGGTTTTTTGCCTTCTAAACATTTTTATGAAAAATTGGAATAATATGTAAATAAGTAAACAAATATATACTATTTATAATGGAGTAAATTATGATCAGTCCAATATGTTTTGTCGCGCGGCTGCTGGAACATGAACCGCTGACTTCAATTCTCAAGGAAAATGGGTAAATTAATTCCAAAAAAAACTTTTATTTGTATGAACATATGTTTGTCCAACACTGTGTTGTACCTATGCACATACATATGTATGTATGTATGTACGTTATTATCCCTCATGAACGATTTTACAACACAAAAAAATAATCATACATAAATAGAAACATTAGAAAATTTGCTAAGGATAAATAAAACACTAAATGAGTACTAAAGTAACGAACCATTCTTCCTTTTTAAAAAGAGTACATAATTGAAACCACCTAAGAAAAAATCACGATCATAAGGGAGTTTTGATTTTTTTTTTTTTGAAATACACATAAACTACTACTCATACATACATAAATACTTAATTATAAATACCAAATGCGCAACGATGGAACATTTGGAAAACAGGCCTCCAAGGGAGCCCAATGTTTGATGTTTTCCACCGTATGTAATATCTAACAGCTTCGTAGTCAATTACCAACTAGTGTACAATAAAAAAAAAACGATCGTTGGTACAGAAAACTTCTGTTAATCATAGTATTTATATAGCATATAGAATGCGGAAGTGTAAAAACACCACCCCGTATTAATTATTTTCCGCTCGAAATACGAGTTTCATAAAAAATTTGCATACATAAGTGCATAAGTGTAGATATTTGTGTATGTACATACATACATACATGTGTATGTATGTATATCTAGCACGAGGTTTGATGCAGTTGTATGTACATATATGTTACCGGCCAAAGCCGATCTTAGGACAAACTAGTTTTGACTAGGCTAAACTAGATCGGGCGCCACAGTATTTTTGAGTAGAACTCCTTTCTGCGTAAGCGGCCTTGGGCCAACTCCAACTACACAGTCCACAATATTGTTGCGTCCAACTTGGTTTCGCGTTAGACGGATGTATTGGATCTAGCTAGAACTTGTTTAGCCCAGGAAAAACTAGTTTGTTCTAAGATCGGGTTTTGCCGGTAACACGTATGTATGTACATAAATACAAAGCTCGATTATATGCTATGACTTAAGTATTTTAGCCAAAAGAGATATAATTTAAGAACCACTTGATATTGAAATATAATGTAAAACGATTTGATGCATTAGTTAAGTGAAATTTTACTAGCCGACTTAAAGTAGATTTAAGATTTATTTTTAAACAATTTACAAAAGATAAGAATACATATAAATAATAACAAAAGTAACGAAATAAAATACATAACCTTCTAAGTACTTTGAACTAAACATAAGTGTTATTATTTATTACTATTATTATTTGTGTGCCAAATTTCAAATGAACAAAGTGTCACGCCACCTGGAGGGGCGGGTCAGCGTCTAGAGAGGGCAACCCATATGGCATGATGAAGTGAATGAATGCACGCACATACCTACACAAATATATATTTTCATATTTAAAAGGGGTAAGTATGTTTTGTTAAGCTGCCCTCTCCCTATCTCCCTATTTTCCGGCGACATCAATGTGCATATTATTTACAAACATATTTAAACCCAAATCGTCGGCACTTGTTTGACACATGTTGCTCCCAATTCGCCATCAATTGCCATTGCTAAGCAACTTAAGTGACCACAACATTTTTACGGGCCACTAACCACTAACTCTATTGTAAGCAGTAATCTTGATGGACTAAAATAGTATACCTTTACCAGTGCAGAGACAGATATGTACTATTATTATTGCTTAAAGAAAAAATGAAACATTTCAAAGCTAAAGCCAGCTCATTACCACTCTTTAATGGTCGAATATCCGATTCATCCATATCGAGTAGCTCGTCATCTGTTGCTCTTGTCGCGTCGAAATCAAAAAAGCGGGCGACCTTCAATGGAGTTATGCAACCAAAAATATTTACCATATCTAACTCATCATCATCGGTGGTGTCATTGTTGAAGGACGAGCCTCCAAGGCCTGCAAAGAAAAGCCTAGAATCTGCAAATATTTACAATGACGACGGAGTAGTGGGTCGAACACCAAAAGTGTCAGAAGTCGCTGGTCCCGAGCTTCATAATTATGAGAAACTTCGCGTAGTAGGACAAGGTAAAGTCTATTTTAAAAACTTGTATCTTTACTATTTTTATACGACCACACTGCCAGACGTACACACATATGTATATGAGTTTATAAGTGCATTTATTCAATTTTGGAATACGTGCACTATTCGTAGGTTCATTTGGAGTGGCAATATTATATCGACGTAAAGTTGACAATCATCATGTCGTATTTAAGCAAATTAACTTATCCGATCTCACGCCATCCGAACGAGATTTGGCTATGAATGAGGTGGAGGTCTTTTCCAAGCTTCACCATCCGAACATTATCAGGTAATACGGTGAAAACATTTAAATGGAAAACTTGTTCTTATTGTTTTATTGTACGAGTATTGTGTTATTATATTTAAAGGAGAAAACCCATAATTGTGACAGTTATTTTGTTAATTTATACATCTGTGGTCACATGTAAACAGCTCCTAACTCGAGAATTATATTTTCGAGAAAATCGCCTTATTTATTATATGTACATATTTTGAGACTCTTAAAAAGTACGCTAGAAAAAATGTACATCAAAAAACTGTTAGAGCCAATTTCATAATGAAAAGTTTCCTTTTAGCTAAAGTGTCATTTGAATATACTTTAAACAAGAAGTGCTTCCATAATAAAAATGACAGTTGAATAATAACAAAATGTTCATTTAACCCTTCGCCGGGCGCAACTGATCTGTCAGACACATCCAGCACATCTTTTTATCTCGCCGTGCCGTTTTATACCGTTAACTTTGCTTACGCTCAGTAGCTGCAGAGCTGAAGAGTAAAACCACTCAGTTTTTGTTTGACACTCACAACTAGAAGTTATGCAGAGTTTGATCTGAGAAGCTCATTGCGCCCAAACTCGTCACATATATTAAAATAAGTATTTTTAGAAATACTTTTACATTACTTTTTTAAATTTTAGTATTCATCTAAAAATAGCTATTATTTCATATACCCGTGTTTAATTTTTATGCAATATTTGCATTTTTCTAAACTATTTTACGTCTTATGTTTGACTTTTGGATTTTTTAACTTTATTTTAAGATTTTTGTATTAGCTGCTAAATTTGTGTCAAATAAAGGATTTTTTCAAAAATATTGACATTTACTTCTTTTTCACATCCCTAAACGCCGTGCCAGTATTTCCCAGATGTATAAACAATATAATTATGTGTTTATTATGTGTTTTTAAAAGTGTGCCAGTAAGGCACATTGCGCCCGAAATTAGCAGTCACCATATTACGCCTGACGAAGGGTTAAATGAAAATAACGATGTTTGCAATGCTGATCTCGGCGAAATTGCATCAGCTGATTGTCATACATATGTTACTATACTATGAAAATTACATACTTCTTTCTCTTACAAAAGGAACCTTTATGCCATTTAAATTTTCATTTTGTGTTTTTAACTAAATAGCCTATATGGGCACCTTTATCTTTTAAGTGGCTTTATAAAATCGATCAGCAAAATAAAGCATCCTTTAAATTTCAAAACATTCTTTAATTTTGTTATGATATCGGCCCTTAATAATATGCATAAAATATGTACAAAACAACTTTTATATGAAAAAACGATTCGTTTTATTTTTGTACTTAGTAATTTTTGATTAAAACGAGCTTTAGCGCATTAAAAAAAAAAAAAAATCAAAATTCTGCCGTCTTAAAAGTTGGAGGCATTTTCGACGCGTTCCACAGCACAAATCTCACCGAATTGAAATAAAATAGTTTGGGTAACTTATTTCATGAGGCTTCCTATTGTACATACATATGTATGTATATGTACATATATTTGTATCTGCATTAATTTTTTTACATTTAATAGTTACCTCGGCAGCTTCATTAGGGACAACACATTGCTGATCGAAATGGAGTACGCTGATGGTGGAACACTCGCCCAGGTCATAGCCGACCGTCCGGTCAAAGATTATTTTCCTGAACGTTATATCATCGCAGTGTTTGAACAGATTTCTAGTGCCATTAATTACATGCATTCGGAGAATATCTTACATCGGTACGAAATAATACATGGAAGTATACATATGTATTATACTTCTTGCCTTTAAAATGTTAAAATGTATCTAAATATATTAAATACTTATTGATTCTTTATAGAGATCTAAAAACTGCAAACGTGTTTTTAAATAAACGCGGCATTGTAAAGATTGGCGACTTTGGCATATCAAAAATAATGAATACTAAGGTTTTAGCACAAACTGTTTTGGGAACGCCCTACTACTTCAGTCCAGAGATGGTATGAGTTAATATTTATTTAGTTTAAGAACAATTCTTATTATCAGAATAACTGAGCGCACGTATCCAATTTTTTATTCAAATGGAGGTACTACCTAGGGTTCGAACGATACTATCGATATTGAGTAAGCATCGATACTGAGGGCATAAAAATGAGTACTTTAATACTCGATACCTTATTTGGTGATTTTACTCGATACTTTGCAAAGTACTCGTAGCATCGAAAACTTTTTAAAAACATACTTTTTAAATTTTTTCTTTACTTATAAGGATTACTATCATTCAATTTTGTCCATCACTTAAAATAAAGTGAAATTTCGTGTAGTCTGTTGCATAACATAAACGAAATAAGTTAAAGTTTAATGGCCTTATTCATAAAAAATAAAGTAGGTTTAAAGAGCTCAATAAAAGGACATTTTCTTACATTTTTCAGTTTATAAACCTTTTTTTTTATGATAAAGGCCATAAAACCTTCCGCAAAGTTCACGAAAATGCAGAATTTTTGGAAACCTTTTGGGTATGCAGTTTTGTAACCTATTCAACTTTACGTGTAGCCTACTACCATTGAGTTTTAATTCAATCTTGCCATTATTATACTAAAATTGAATAGGCTACAAAAATGCATACCCAAAAAGTTTACAAAAAATCTTAATAAAATTTGAAATTCGTGAAAGTATATATATATATATGTATGTATGTATGTATGTACATTTAACGTTAAAATTACTTCTTACGTGAAAGTAAGTTCTGCAATGAAATATAAATCAAATATTTTAAAATTGTATTGTTTTAATATCAAGAATAATTTCAATAGAAATAATTTTAGTATCCCAAAAAACGTATTTTAATACTGAGTAGTATCGATACTTTTTCCCTGATACTTTTAGAGTATCGATACCATGAGCTCGATGACAGAATGAGTACTCAGTATCGATACCAAAGTCTGAAATTTCGAACCCTAGTACTACCTGGACACGATAGGGGAAGTCACGATTTGTAGTATTTTAGGTGTAAAGTAGCTACGTACGTAGCAATCTAGCACGCATATCTAACAGGTAGGAGAATTAGAGCAAAAACAAAATTTGTGTGTTTTGTTGCAGCTTCTGGTATCTACAGTGTCAAACCAATAGTCTGCTTTTTTTAAATGTCATAGTGGGCGATGTGAAATATAAACAAAAACGTAGATAAATAAAAAATGTAATTTAAAAAAATAATAATAAAGAATTGGTTCCACTTTCTTTTTGTTGAATTCCAGAAGCATCAATACATCCGTTTCCGGTCCCAAAAATCAGCGTTTATGCTCCTATGTGACGTTTTCACAGTGGGGGGCTAACTCAAATTCGGCAGTTAACTTTAATAGTAAAAGAAGCCCTAAGTTAAGCAAGATTCACATGCGAATACATTTTGCCAATTATGAATTTCGAGAAAAAATTAACAATATTTGGCAGTTTAGATACCAGATAATAAAAAAAAATATCAAATCAGCTGCTCTCTGCTACCAATGTTTAATATATCTTTGGCATATAATTTTCTTATTACGTAAGAGTTCAAAAATAGTTACTCAAAAATTAAACGAGCTCTACCATCTTTAACAATAGCCACAAGAATTGAAATACGTATGTACATTCGTAGCTAAGTATTTTGTAATAACCGGCTTCAAAAAAGGAGAAAGGTGATCAATCCGCCGGAATATTTTTTTATGTATGATACCGGATAACTTTGGACTACGTAAACCGTTTTCCATAATTCTTTATAATAATTTTTTATCGGAAAGCTACCTCAAGGGTGGTCCCATATTAATTAGGCTAATGATATATAGTTTATAATTTTTATTTTATTTTTTTAATTTCAGTGCGAAGGCAAGGAGTACGACAACAAAAGCGATATTTGGGCCTTAGGCTGCATTCTTGGCGAGATGTGTTGCCTCAAGAAGAGTTTTGCGGCTTCAAACCTCTCGCAATTAGTTTCCAAAATAATGGCGGTATGCTTATAAGGCCTCGCCTGTTTCTTGCATATTCTTAAATATTTACACGTATATCTTTTATATTTGTCATTGTCGTTATCATAAAATTTAGGGCAATTATACCGCCATACCTACAGGATATTCTTCAGGGCTGCGGAGTCTTCTGAGCAATCTTTTGCAGGCAAGTTTGAACAAGAAAAATGCACACATAAATACATACATACATATCGAGCCCTAGCCGCCAAAAAGATGTAGATAAGCGACCTTTTTTTCAAAATTTTCTTTTTTTATGCAGAAATGTTCCTATAGCTCTGATGCATTTCAGCATTAAAAATCAAATTTTGAAAAAAAAATCTTTTTGGCGGTAAGGGCTCGATATATCCTCATTTGTAAGCAGCTCTCGCAAGTGCAATTTAATTTTAATTTCGCAGGTAGATTCTTCTCGACGGCCAATGGCCTCGGAAATATTGGAGTATTGGATTCCATTGATATTTAGAAATTTGGGGAAAAATAAAGGGTACTAATACCTAGCTATGTAGATATATTAGATATGCCTATACATACATACATATGAGTATTTCCAATATGGCGTTACGTGACACTCCCCTGAAGGAAAGAGTGGTCCAATTGCTCGAAAAATATAGTCGTAGGTATATGTAGTAGTTTTGTAACTAGACCAAAGAAGGTCCAAAAATTTAAGGCAATGTAATGTAAAACAGGTGAATTGTACTAAAAGTGGTCCGAATGTA